ATTCACAAGAACATTTGAATGCATATTTAATTAGTGTATTTATGTACAAATCAAACTGATTAAATGAATGTATGTTTTGTCTTTTTGAAGTTTAAAATTCAAAACGCATTGAATTTTATTTATGAGTTGAGAATCTTTTTATTTCATGATGCAAGTTTTGGGATCATGCATGATTAATTTATTTTGTTAATTTATTATTTTTAGTTGATGCGTTTAATATGCATGTATGACGTCAACTCAAGTTATTTCTTAACAAAATTTTCATGTGATTTGGAATGTTAAATTGATATGTTGATTAATTTGAGTTTTTCCAATTAATTTAGAATGGGTGTTTAAACACCAGAGAAATTTAAACATGAAGATGTATGTAGTTATATCGTTCCATTTAATTGGAAAGTAAATTTAAGAAATCTTTTATGTTGATTTTTAGTTTATTTTGAATTATGTGACATGAGATGTCATTAATAATTATTTTACTTGCGTAGTAGAATTTGTTAAATCATAAACCATTTTATTAATATGGGGGTATATCTCTTGCATTAGTTGAGATAATTTAATTTTCTTTTGTCACCAATATTTTTATGACAGTGACGTTTATTCGTAAATGAGTTGCAAGAATGTATACAATCAAATTGAGCTTTTTGGAATTGTTTGATTCTTAGGCAAATTTTTTATGAGGATATGATTTTGTCAAAATTTTAATTATGATTTGTGTAGTCATAATTATTTTGGATTTTTCATTTGAAATTTATGAATCATGATTTGAAATTTCTGAATCCAGCACATCATAGACAACAAATGATGAATGTCATGTTACTAAGTTCAGGTTTACCACAGAACTTGTGGGCGGAAGCAATATTGTCTGCTAATTATGTTCTTAATAGAATATCCCACAAGAAAACCAACAGCACTTCTTATGAATTGTGGAAAGGTCGACCACCTTCCTACAAATACTTAAAAGTGTGGGGGTGTTTGGCAAAAGTTGAAGTTCCTGTTCCTAAAAAGACTAAGATTGGACCAAAAACAGTAGACTGTGTGTTTATTGGTTATGCTCATAATAGTAGTGCATATCGGTTTCTGACTTATAAATCAAAAATATCTGATATAAATGTGAACACTATTATAAAGTTAAGGAATGCTGTGTTTTTTGAACATATCTTTCCTTACAAGAAATGACAGGAATTAAGTTCACAGAAAAAAACTTATGATTGTACACAAAGTCAAGAGACTAATGACAATCAAACACAAAAGACTAGTAATAGTCTCGATCAATAGGATATAACTGATGATGAACCAAGACGAAGTAAGAGAGTGAGAATATCAAAATCCTTTGGTCCAGATTTTCTGACATACCTGTTAGAAAATGAACCTCAAAGCTTTAAGGCGGCAATGACAGGTCCTGAAGCACCTTTGTGGAAAGAGGCTGTTAATAATGAAATTGAATCCATTATGCAAAATCATACTTGGGAATTGGTGGATCTTCCACCAGGTTCTAAGCCTCTTGGATATAAATGGATATTCAAGAGAAAAATGAAAGCAGATGGTTCAATCGACAAGTATAAAGCAAGACTTGTAGTTAAAGGTTACAGACAAAAGGAAGGTCTGGACTATTTTGACACATATTCTCCTGTGACAAGAATAACATCCATTCGCATGCTTATTTCTATAGCGGCTTTGTTTAAATTAGAAATACATCAAATGGATGTTAAGACAGCTTTCTTAAACAGTGATCTAAATGAAAAGATTTATATGGAGCAACCCGAAGGGTTTGTAGTATCAGGGCAAGAAAGAAAGTTTATCGACTTGTAAAATCCCTTTATGGATTAAAACAAGTACCTAAGCAATGGCATGAAAAATTTGATCATGCAATGCTTACTAATGGGTTTAAGATAAACGAATGTGACAAATGCGTCTATGTTAAAAACACTGACCAAGGATATGTCATAGTTTGTCTTTATGTGGATGACATGCTTATCATTGGAAGTAGTCAAAACATGATCAAATCAACTAAGCAGATGCTTAACAAAAGATTTGATATGAAAGATATGGGGGTCGCAGATGTAATATTAGGAATGAAAATTACTAAAACATCTGACGGATATGCATTATCTCAATCTCATTATATTGAGAAAATTCTTGATAAATTTATCAAGGATGATTTGAATTTAGCTAGAACACCTGTAGACATTGGTCATTATTTATCGAAAAATAAAGGTGATGCAGTGTCTCAGTTAAAATACTCCCAAATCATTGGAAGCCTAATGTACCTAATGAATTGTACTCGTCTTGATATAGCTTATGCTATCAGTAAATTGAGTAGGTACACTAGTAACCCTGAAGAAGACCATTAGAAAGCGATTATTCGGGTTCTTAGATATCTAAGATTCACCTATGATCATGGTTTGAACTTTACTTGATATCCAGCAGTACTTGAAGGTTATTGTGATGCAAATTGGATATTGGATACTAAAGATTCAAAATTCACAAGTGGATATGTCTTTACTCTAGGAGGCGCTGCTGTTTCTTGGAAATCCACGAAACAAACATGCATCGCATGATCCACAATGGAATCCGAGTTCATTACTTTGGACAAAGCAGAAGAAGAAGCAGAATGGCTTCGTTACTTATTAGAAGACATTCCAATGTAGCCAAAACCTGTTCCAGCTATTTGCATTCATTGTGATAGTCAATCTGCAATAGGCAGGGCACAGAATCGCATGTATAACGGTAAGTCACAATATATTCGTCGTCGACATAATACCGTAAGGCAATTGTTGTCAAATGGAATAATCTCAATAGATTATATAAAATCTAAAGAGAATATTGCGGATCCGTTAACAAAAGGTTTGACAAAAGAGCTAGTATATAGTTCATCAAAAGGGATGAGATTAAAGCCTATTACATAAGAGTCGTCATAATGATAACCCTACTTATATGACTGGAAATCCCAAGAACTAAGTTCAAAGGGACAACTAAGTTATGTATGGCTCGCCAGAAATCACCAAGGGATTAAAATTCCTACCCATTCCTATGGTGAGAGTGATATCTGCAACATATGTTGTCTGCAGGGGTATAAGGATAAGCTTTGCTTTTAATGATTACTATACTGATTAAGGCATAAAATCAAGACGAGTATAAGGAGATGCTCACAATAAGAATCACCTATATGAGTGTTGAACTGGGGCCGGTTCTATGAGAATGAAAAGGCTAAATTCTCTAGAAACACTTATGAAAACCAGGCGCGTTCAAGGCCAAAATGAACACAATAGTGAGAACCACGATGTGTTAGAAGATATTTGTGTGGAAATCTATTGTCTTGGCTTACACAAACGGCTGAACAATTCAAGGCATCGCGTCCATTGGTTAGCCAGCAAGTCCGATAGGTTATCACTAGGGAATGTTCAAGGCCGAAAAACTACCTATCCTGATGCAAGATATTTTTGACTTATACTCTTTCGATAAATCTGCATATTGTTGCATTTCGTTGTTATCAAATTCCATTCATGTGGGGATTGTTGGAAATGGTTATAAATTCTGGGTAAAACCAAGAATTTTATCCTATGTTCGGTTATATTTTTAGGTGGGCCCCGTGTGTCGATTTTCACGGGTCAAAGTGGTAATGCGTTCTATGCCGCGTTGTGATTCACGTGGTATATTTGTTGCTCAAAACCATTACCGAGTGAATGGGAAATTGAAGCCAAAGTGTGCACCATGGAAGTGGAATTTGGTGGAAATTCCTTAAAGGTTTGAATAAGGGTGTCCCACATTGATTTGGTGGGAGGTTTTGAAAGGGTTTATAAGGCATGGGGTTGGTACTTGGGGTGTGCTCCAAGGGGTACCCAAGGTTTTAGAGGGAGAGGTTATGGGCAAAATGGGCTAGACCCATTGGACTAAAAAAATCACCACACACGCGTGCACGTCGCTGCCGCCGCCGTCCGGCCGGGCGGGCTGGGCTGGGGCCTGCGGGCTTGGGCGCTGGTGCGTGGTGTGAGGTGGGTTGGGCTTGTTCGGCCCAGCACTAATCTTTTTGGGTCAAAAACATTTGAATTGTTTTTATTTTTGGTAAAATAAAATCCATAATTCAAATTAAACTGGTTTGGTTTTTCTGTACATCCAAACAGGGCCCTTCCCGTATTAAACCGGAAATAATCTGATCCGGATTTACTGTACACCCAACAAGGCCCTTCCCATTTTTGTTATCTGTTTGAATTGTAATCCAACAGATTCAAATCTGTTTGAATTCAAAACCAACAGGTTTCATACCTATTCAATTCAAAACCTGCAGCCACATTACATCTATAAATAGGACAACCCTCATTTGGATTTGTAACTCTAATTTTCGTCCTTCATAATTCTGCAAACAACCTTTTCATTTGCTGCATTATTTCTTGTCAGAGAGAGTATAAACACTTTGTGTGTTCATTAGACAAATAATTGGTAGTGCTGCTATTGTTTGTAGTAGATCATTTTATCCTAGGAGATAGACGTCCATATTCTGAAAGCACCGTGGAGAGGACGAATCTGTCTTAAGGACACAGTGTCAAACACTGGACTTGATCAATTATAATTCGAAGAAAAAATCAAGTAAGTTATTTAATTAATTTTTGTGTTATGTTTTTATTTAAATCAGATTTTAATTTTGTTTTGTAACAAAATAAAATATGTTTTTATTATTTATTTATTTATTATTTCGAGTTTGATTTTTGTAATCAAACAAATTCTCTCCTTTTCTTTATTTCTTTTAAATTATAGTTGTTGTTTTGTACACAATAAATTAAATCTTTTAAATACAGTGAAGATTGTGCAACCAGTTCAACCAAAAAAAAGAAAGAAAAATGGAGAAGTCAAATGAACATAGAGGATATAAATCATTTGCATAAATTTCAAGCTTAAAAAAAAAAAAAATATTTAGAAGGGAACTCCAAACATAGAATTCAATACTGTTTAGCTGCCAACTTCCCCACAACAGCATACACCTGTCCAGAATTATACCCACACCACTATAACCGTAAACCGGCTGATTTAGATACCCAGTAGCCGCAGTGGTGGTTGTGGTGCTGATTTAGATACCCAGTAGCCGGCAGAGTGGCAGTGGCGGTGGCGGGACCCAAGTGGTCGGAACCCGCCCAGTCACCGCCCTGCCATAACATCCGATGGCCCCTTAACACAATCCACGTGGACGTCGACGTCACAGGCCCCACACCTGTACCGCCACGTGGAACATCCACGTCGGCAGAGATCACACCAATGGCCAGGCCCGTCCGGCTGAAGAGTGAGCACGTGTTGGGGGTGAAACGCATGTCGCACGTGTAAAGGAAGTTGGGTGCAGAGAGGTGGGCGTCGAAAGAACACGATTGGCACGTGTAGAAGAGGCCGTTGACGAGGTGGTCGCAGAGGTCGCAGAAGCGGCCGTTAGAGCCGCCAGGGTGGTGGAGGAGGGAGAGGTGGTGGTTGGGATGGAGAGGGGAGGAGAGGGTGGAGGAGAGGCGGCGCCAGTATTCATGGAGGTCGAAGTCGCAGCCGGCGGAGCAGTGGCGGCGGGTTCCGATGCCGAGGGGTGTGCAACCGTCACATTTGTATTCTGCGGCGGTGTAGATCTTGATGAGGGGGTGGTTTGGGTGGGTGAAGTGGTGGTGGAGAGTTTGGGTTGGTGATGGTGATAGTGCCGGTGATGGAGGTTGTAGTGGAGCCATCTCTTTCTAACTTTTTTTCTCTCTCTAAGACTAAGACCGTAGTGAAAGATGAAGGAATTGTGGTGTGCTACTACTTATTAGCTAGGACTAGGAAAGAGTTGAAAAATGTTTATTAATTTATTATTTTTATGCAGATTCATCTAGTGAAGAAATATTCGACGATGACGCGTTTGAAGTTATGCAGTAGTATACACGACAAAGAATAGTGTGAATCTTGTAACAACTTGAAAATGTAACGGAAAGGAAAATTACAGGTTTTGTGACTAACTAGTTTTTATTTATTTATTTATTTATTATTATTTTACAAAAATATTGTATACTATAAGGATTTAAGTTATTACACACATTTTTAATAAATTACAGAATATATTATCAATTACACACATTTTTAATAAATTACAGAATATATTATCAATTACACACATTTTTAATAAATTACAGAATATATTATCAATTACACACATTTTTAATAAATTACAGAATATATTATCAATTACACACATTTTTAATAAATTACAGAATATATTATCAATTACACACATTTTTAATAAATTACAGAATATATTATCAATTACACACATTTTTAATAAATTACAGAATATATTATCAATTACACACATTTTTAATAAATTACAGAATATATTATCAATTACACACATTTTTAATAAATTACAGAATATATTATCAATTACACACATTTTTAATAAATTACAGAATATATTATCAATTACACACATTTTTAATAAATTACAGAATATATTATCAATTACACACATTTTTAATAAATTACAGAATATATTATCAATTACACACATTTTTAATAAATTACAGAATATATTATCAATTACACACATTTTTAATAAATTACAGAATATATTATCAATTACACACATTTTTAATAAATTACAGAATATATTATCAATTACACACATTTTTAATAAATTACAGAATATATTATCAATTACACACATTTTTAATAAATTACAGAATATATTATCAATTACACACATTTTTAATAAATTACAGAATATATTATCAATTACACACATTTTTAATAAATTACAGAATATATTATCAATTACACACATTTTTAATAAATTACAGAATATATTATCAATTACACACATTTTTAATAAATTACAGAATATATTATCAATTACACACATTTTTAATAAATTACAGAATATATTATCAATTACACACATTTTTAATAAATTACAGAATATATTATCAATTACACACATTTTTAATAAATTACAGAATATATTATCAACTACTAAGTTATTAAGAATCTCTACTATATTTTGTGAAAATATCCCAAATTTCACTTCAAAAGTGAGCATGTAGTATAGATTTAAAGATAAAATAATATGGCAATGAAGATAGTCTGTTGATTTATTTGTTGGGTGAATTATACTAATAGTTTTTATAGTTTGGGACTTGTAGACTTTTCAATCGTGACATATTTGACCTTGAATTTTGAATCTTGTTTCAAATAAGGACAATTGAAAATATCATTAGATTTTTTAAGGGTAAAATCGTCAATTTGATAAAATATAAATTAATTGGACAAAAATAAATTTCAAACAAATATTTTTGAATTTTTAAAAATTATATCTACCCACTAAAAATAAAATTATTTAAAATTGATAAATCTTTTAGACATTTATTTATTTTTTTTACCAAATTAATTTTTATTATGTGTTTGGATGATGATCATGTAAAATTAATTTTAAAAAATTAATCATGTAATTTTTATCAATTTTACATAATTTTATCATTGGTGGATAAAAATAATTTTTGAAAGTTAAAAAATTTTTTTTTTGATATTTATTTTTGTTAAATTAGTTTATATTTTATTAAATTGACGATTTTGTCTTTAAAATTAAATAATGGTATCTTCAATTGTCTTTATTTGGAACAAGATTCAAAATTTAGGATCAAATGTGTCACAATTAAAAAGTTATGGACCAAAGTGACACGAATTGTATAATTTACCTTTATTTTTTTTAATAATTTCTTTTCGGGCAAAGGTGTGTGGGAGAAAGAATTCTAAAATCAAAGAAGATTTCGTACACCAAGCAGGACAGAGTGCAACCCCTAATGTCACGGCAACCTAATTTTTTGTTCAAGAACTTTTACGAAATTCATAATTTCGATTATCAAAGTGTGTTGTAGAAGAGTCCACTAATATAGCACCTCTTTAGATTATCAATTTTTTGTTGGGTGTATCAATTTTTTGTTTTTCTTTATTTGGGTGGATAACAAATGTTGGTTAACCCTTTCGCCCTTCATAATTATTTTGGCAAGTTTTTTGCTATAACAATGTTAGAGATACTATTGTTTTACTAAAAAATTTACCAAACATGTATATGGGTGTGAGTCTCACATGAGTGTAAGTTTCACACTAATTTGGTAGATTTCTTGATAATTTTGTTGATATCCATAACATTTTTATTTTTTATGTATTGCCACCATCTTTCTCTAATCCAACTTAATATTTTATAAAATGTAAAATTAATATTATTTGACAATGTTAGCCATCTAATTTTTCAAAAAATAAATAAAATTAATTTTATGGTCGTACAATTTTAAAAAATGTTCCAAAAGATGTTTGTAACTAATAAAATGTTTTAATTTTCCAAAACAAATTGAGTTTTTAAGAAAATCATCTAGACAAACTTTATTAAATGATTAGTTATAATTAGTAAAAATAAAATAAAATAAGCAGAAATTCGAATATAGAATTATTTAATATTTCACACAACAGCTAATACTGAGTCAATGTGACAATTACAAAAAAATAAAAAAATAATAATCATTAGGCTTCTAGTCAATAAATAGGTGGATTATCAACTACCGTTTTTTAAACGAAAAAAAGTTAAAAGTCAACCACATGAATGAGTCGTGCTATAGGAATTACTAGTAATAATAATACTGTATAAACGTGAAACAATCAAGTGATATTGTTATTTATTCCTCACCAGATCTCTGAAATATAACAGAGAAAAGAAACCAAAACACAACCATACAAGGAAAAATTATACAATAATTTCGGAGTGTCATGTGGTTATATTTTTTCATTAATCGTCATTCATTATGATTTTCATATTTTTTAATCACTTAATACAAATAAATAATACTATATCTTTTTTATCAATCATTTTATCATGAAACATCACGTAACTATATTCCCAAACTACCGAATAATGAATTAAAAAGAAAACAATTTATTGATATTTGGGTTAGAGATTTTGATGAATCTGAGCAACTAACCAGTTTGTTATTATATTGATTCTAAGAAAGGGTGTGAAATGAAATGTGGGAAATGGAAAATCCATCTCTTTATGGCATAATTGATAGTGTGGTCAAAAACCACTAGAGGCCTGTTTGGTAGAGCTTATAAACTGTTTATTTCAGCTTTTAGCTTGATTTAAGTTAAAATATTGTATTTGATGCAGCTTAAGTAAACTAGCTTATAGCTTAAATTAAGTTATTTCTCAGCTTATCTCAAAAACTGGTCAGGGGGTGCTTAAATTTTTGACTTAAGCGTGCAGCTGATGTGAGGGGCTAAAATTACTTAAATGTCCTCGTCAATACTCAAATATTAACATTAATATTAATTAAAAAAGAAGTATATTTTTGAAGAAAAAGAAAAAAATCAATATTAATTGAAAAATTAATTGGTATTAATTATTAATAAATTCATATTGTATATTTTTATATTAATTAAAAAATAAAAAATTGTATATTTCTGAAGAAAAAGAAAAAAATCAATATTAATTGGTATTAATTATTAATAAATTAATATTGTATACTTTTGTAATGAATTAATTATTAATTGATACTAATTAATAACAATTGTTGATTATTAATATTAATTGATACTAATAAAAATTAAATATTAATATTAATTTATACTAATTAATAATTTTAGTATTAATTGAGACTAATTAAACCATTAATTGATACTAATTAATAATTTTAGTATTAATTAATACTAATTAAGCAATTAATTGATACTAATTAATTTATAATGAAAAAAATTATGACAATAATACTTCCACTACATTTTTATCAAATGTATCAATTTTTATATTAATTGATACTAATTAATACTAATTATATTAACTTTTATTAATGAAATAATTTTTTTTTAAAATTAAAACTTAAAAAAATGATAAAATAATCATTTTTATATCATGTAATGGCAGAAAGGACAATTATGCAGTAAAAAGTTATTTTACAGCTTATTAACCAAACACTACTCTGCTACTTAAATCCATAATCTCATAACTGTACCAAACAGGTTAACAGCTTATATTCACAGCTATCTGTTAAGTTATAATTTATAATTACTTTTTCATAACTCTATCAAACGGGGCCTAGATCATAGTTATAACACCCCCAGATTAACGAGGGTAGAATGTTCGTTTATTCTTGGATGATGAAGGGAACTGGAACACTGGATTCATAGCTAGCACTGTCAGCCATCAAGACTTCCAATAGCCCCAAGTTTGTGACTTACACTGATGCTCTCACCTAGATAGGAACCCCTAGGGTAATTTCTCTACAGCTTTTGCTTACAAAATCATTGCTAATCATGATCTAGATGGGACAGACTGGAAAATGGATATGGAAAATTAAAACTCTGCAAAAGCTGAAATGTTTTCTTTGACTTAATCTAAAAGATAGACTACTAACTAATCAAATGAGGCTTAGAAGGAATATGTCATCTACTAACCTCTGTCATAGATGTGGGCTTTTTAGTGAGGATATAAGTCATCTCCTTAGAGAATCTGCTAAATCCAAGGATATATGTCTAGATTGAAATCAAGAATTTCAGATGGTAGGAGGGCTGTAGGCAGCGTCTAGTTGAATGGGTGTCCTCTAACATGAAAAACAAAAAGTTGTTTCTTGGAAAAAAAAAATGGTGCATTTTATTTATTGTCACTATTTGGTAGATCGGGAAAGATCGAAATCAAATGGTTTTTGAAAATCTTACCCACTCCATTTAGGCATGATTTGACAAGTGGGTTTGGATAGATTTGGGGCTATTTTAGCCATAAAAGACAAAATAGGCTATTTTAGCCACAACAAACAAAATATCACATCCAATCCATAATCATTATACTCTTCTCTCACAAAAAAAGCCAAAAAGCTCTTCTCAAACCAAGCTTTTTAGACCAGGCTAAAATAGCCAAAAAAGTCAAAAAGTCAAAAAGTCAACCCACTTCCCAAACAACACCTTAAGCTAGTCTAAAAAATATTAGGGAGTATGTGTCGAAAAAATAATGATTTTTTGGTGATTTTAATGCAATATTAAAGTGGGTGCCAAACCTTAATTAAAGTGAGTTTAGATTCTTTGTAATATAATCTTTACACCACAAAAAGAATGACCAAAAAAATGAGAAATTGACTCATTAAGTTAGCCTCATGAAAGAGGTGTTGGGAAAAGTGTAAAATCTTGTTCCCCACATTGATTGTAGAGGAGAACATTAATGGGTATTTAAAACCTATTTTTTGCATAAGGGTGTAAGTCCTTTGGGGCATCCAAATTTTTCGAAAGAAATGAGTTATGGATATTTCAACGATGGACTTGGGCCAAGACTATGGTCCAAGTTGGTTATACAAAAATTGCCATACGCGCGTTTGCCGCTCGTTCACCCGTGCCGGGTCCGAGGTCCGTAGATTTTGAGGCTTGGCCCATTCATCTTAATCTTTTTGGGTCAAGTCAGATGTGTGGGCTGCAGGAATATGTACACAAAACCTAGTCTCCTCTATTGATGATAAAATTAAACCCATCAGTTTTACAGAATTAATTTAGATAAATGCAGAATTAATTCCTGCATTGTTGCATGGGAGCCTCTTCCTCTCTTCTTCCATGTTTATAAAAGGAGGCTTTCTTCTTCAGCTTTTTACACCAGAAATTGCTGTTATTCTAGTCTTTCAAAAGTTTACTAATTTTGTGATTTTCTTCATATGAGAGAGTGCTGTAAAGTTCTGTTCGCCGAAACTATTCAATCGGTGCATTATGTAGTTGGTCCAACCGTCGTATCCTAGGAGACAGACGTCGAACAACCTCCAGCACTTAACCGGTGAGGCGGCAAATCTGTTTTAAGGATACTGTCTAGTGCGGGCTTTGGTTTGTTTCCTTTTGCTAGTTTTATTTTATTATGAATTTTTGTAAATTCAAGCATATTCTTGTTCTAAAATTCAATTTCTTTGTTTAATATGAATCTATTTATTTTATGTTATCATACAATTTATACAATAAACTTAAAATAGATTCTTTGGCTCTGTTTGGTTGTTAATTCAAATCAATTTTCAACACGTGAGCTCGCGCATGACGTTTGGATATGACGTTCAAAAATTGATTCTGCGTGTTAATTCAAATTACATTTTGAAAATCTGTTTGGCAGCTTGTATCTCTTTTTCAATGTTTCTACTTTCTTCATCGTCTCTGCAACTTTCACGTGAAGCTCATCTACATCAGTCCTTCAGATTCATCACGGGTGGCTTCTCTGTATCAAACATCCGTACTTCAAATTCATCACGGGTGGGTTTCAGACTCATTTTATAAATAATGAATCCACCCAACCCGCTCTATACAGGTATCATATTTCACAAATCGATTGAGTTACGATCTGTGCATTGCGGACGATTCTTATTACGGGCAACCAAACAACGACGACTGCGAGGTGAAATTACTCACAAATTTATTTACATATTTTGTTATAGGGAAATTATTTGAGAAATTCATCTTAATTTATTTTTAATTTTTTTCAGGTTAAATTTATCAAATTTATTGTCGAATCCGACGAGCAAACAGTGGCACATTCAATCAGTATACACATTCCATCACCGGCGATAACTATTCAACTCCCACTGATCTGGTAAATAAATCCTTTATCCTTCATCTGTTATCTGAAAATGATTTTATCTGTTATCTGAAAATGATTTCGGACGAGTCGATAAACGATTTCATTCTTCATCCTGAACTGTTTCAACTTTTTTGTTCTTCAAGAATAGTCAGTAAATCAATCTTCATCTGTTATGTATAAATGATTTCGGAGAAGTTGAAATCAGTTCCTAAATGGTTTATGAGAATTTGTAGAGGCGTATTTTCCATTTCAGATTGGTTGTTATTTTAAATTATGAACTGTTTGAACCTTTGAACCTGAAGCGGCAGTGCCTGGGACACCCGGCCAGTCGTCCCTTGGGTCATCCGGCCGGTCAACCACCCGGTCCTCCCACCTTGTCTTTCGTTTTCCATTTCTTCGTTAATGGTTTGACCTGTGCAGTGCCTGGGACACCCGGCCGGTCGTCTCCTGGGTTATCCGGCCGGTCAACCACCCGGTCCTCCGACCTCTTCCGGTTTTGTCTTCCGATTTTCCATTTCTTCGTTAAAACCTACCGGTCTGTTTGAACCTACTGAGCTTTTTTACTGATTTTTTTCCTTAATTTTTCTTTTACTGATTTGTTTCCTCCTATTTAACCACAATGTTAACTGATTTTTTTTTTTATTTGTGGTTATATGTTACTGATTTGTTTCCTCCTATATAAACACAATGTTAATTGATTTTTTTTTTTATTTGTGGTTATATTTCTGCTATCTGAACGTTTTTTTTTTGTGGTTATATTTCTGCTATTTAAGTTCAATTAATCTGCTACGTATTTTTTTCCTCGAAATAAAATCATCTGTTCTTTTTCCTTTATCTGTGTTCTCCTTCAAACCATTTTGACACTGTTATTCTTGTATATCCATCGCAGACTACTTTAAAATACTCTGTTATGCTTGTATATCCATCCCAAACTAGTTTAAATATAATTTGTATATTTATAGATGGATGGAAATAATTCTGATGATAATGAGAACACCAAAATGTGGACGCCCAGAATTGAAACGAAATTAATAAATATGTTGAGAGATGAGGTTAGAAATAATCAAACAACGGGCCGTACTACTTCGTGGACAATTAGGCATTGGAATCATTATGCAAATTAGTTGCACAACATATATGGATTTCGGTATACAGGTGTCAAGGTGCGCCAAAAATATCAACGATTGAAAGCTGATTACCAGGCATTTAAGCGACTGCAAGCACAGACTGGTCTGGGATGGGATCCTATTATAGGCACTGTTGTTGCACCCGATGAATTTTGGGATAAGGTTTTCCATTAATCTGTACTATTTTCTAATTTTATTTTAAACATTTCATGATATATATAGTGTTGAATTCTTGTTTTGTAATTGTTGTAGGCTAGCAGATATGTGAAGAAGTTTAGGACAAAAAAGTTTGAATATTTTCAAGAAATGGCAGAAATTGTTGAAAATTGTTGTGCCACAGGGGCCCTGTCTCGTGCATTCACACAAGGACCCCTTGACTCAGAAGAAGAAGATGACATGTTAAATAAATTTTGGAACGCTGATGCTGGTGGGAGTAATGCTGCTGAGGCCATTCCTGTTGACTTATTCGGGGATGAGTATATGGATCCAGCAAAGGGCAAAGGTCACAAGAGGGGCCCTGCAACCAGCCAGACTGACAGTGGTCGTTCCAAAAAGTCACGGTCAAGTGGGTTTGATGATGTGTGCGCAGTTTTCACATCCTATGTACAAGCCAAAATAGGACATTCACGTGCACAAGAAAATAAGGCTGAGGCTGTAAGTGCAGGTGGTGATGATTATTCCCTTGACGCATGTCAAGATGCATTGCTTGAGCTTGGGGACATACCACCGTTGCAGTACGTTAGGACACTGACACTGTTCAAGGATAAGGAATGGCGAAGGTTTTTTATGCGCACTTCTACCCATTTACGCCTGGCCATGATCCTCGCTTTGCAGTGAATTGAGAAGTTCTGTGTTGTTTGTGTTAGTAAATCTTCTTCGCTGAACTATTTGATGATTTCATTATTCCTAATTTGGTTTTTCTTATTTTTTTTTCATTCCATCATATCCTCTTTCCTTTTCTATGTTCGCATGTTTTTTTTTTTTGAACTTTTAAGTGTTTTCTGTTATATTAAAACTATGTTATGTTATTATAATATGACCATGTGTTAAATAAATTTTGTTCTCCTCTGAATTTTACTGTTTCACCAATAACGCTAACTATTACAGCATGAATAACATATTTTATAATTATGCTTTTACTGTGATGTAGACAAAGGCATATGTCATCTGACAGAGAAAACAATACAATGGAGCTCTCATCAGAGGAGGATGAGGTTGTTGATGATGTTATGGATTTTTTGATGATTGTTTTAATGCATGACCATATCAACGCGTCAAGTAGTCGCCGACCGCAACAAACGTGTCTATTTAAAGGTGATGATTACATCTTCGGCCTATTAAATGGCTATCCAGAAACAATAATGAACGTTATGCGAATGGATGCACAAACATTCATTTTATTGAAAGACACTTTACTCCATAATGGCTTTATCGATACTGAACATATGCATATCAGTGTGGAGGAATCGCTTGGAATTTTTTTATACACTTTTGCACAAAATGATCGCCATCGAATAATGGCAGATAGATTTCAACACTCTATGGAAACAATTTATCGGCACATAAAAATTGTTATACGGGCATTGTGCAAGCTTTCATCATCGGTTATTAAACCACGTAACCTAGAGGACATACCGGGAAAAATTTTAAATGACAGGAGGTTTTTTCCCTGGTTCAAGGTACGAACAGTATGACTGTCCTGTAAGTTTGTTCATATCAATAAGTGTTAATAAATATTATTTTTTTTTATTACGAAAGTAATATCGAAGTTTGTTTCGCTTTTAATATCAAACAAATATCTGTCAATTAGGATTGTGTCGGTGCTATCGATGGCACATTGGTGGATGCATGGGTCCCTGCTTCAAGACAAAATACATTCCGCGGTCGAAAAGCAACGGTATCGCAAAATGTACTCGCAGCTTGCGACTTCGATATGTTGTTCACATTTATTAATTCTGGATGGGAAGGTAGCCCTCACGACAACGTTATTCTGCTTGACTCTATTACACGAGCTGATCTACAATTCTCACACCCACTCAATGGTGACTGTCCTTGAATAACATACGGTACACTTTTTTCCTTGTCCGTTTTTGTACATATCAATTGACAGAATTGTGTATTCATTATTTATGTAGGCAAGTACTATTTAGTTGATGCTGGTTTCACGAACATGCCTGGATTTCTTGCCCCATTTCGGTCTCAATGGTATCACTTGCAAGAGTTTCGTGGCCATCGTTATGCAGGATCTAAGGAATTGTTTAACCATCGACATTCGTCATTACGCAATGTCATAGAAAGAACATTTGGTGTTTTGAAGAAGCGCTTCCCAATATTGCGGTCCATGCCAAATTACAAGTCTACACGACAAGGGCCTCGTGATTGCATGTTGTGTAGTGCACAATTGGATCCGTTTGCATGCAACTATGGATCCATTCTTTATGGAAGCTGATAATGAAATGGCCGCAGAAGCAGAAGCAGACGGGCTTGTTGGAGACCAAGCTGACTACGTTGACATGTCACAACATGGGTTAACGTCCCAATCGAACGTTAGGGATGCAATTGCTACTGCTATGTGGCAAAATCATGTTCACCATGCATAGAAAAGGGATGTGAACAAGGCAAGTAAATGTCGCACTGACTACTGGTTGTGAATGCGTAACTATTTGGTAAATTATTTCAGTCATTATGACACCGTTACTACATAACTCCGCTGTCACGACCCGAACCCGCCCCTATGGGTTAAGGACATGACCGGCCAATAATCCTGTGATTACCTACGGCCTCAGACCGAAATAAGATGACTTGTCAGAGTAAAGGGGCCAAACGGAAGCAAAAATTTAAAATTTTGTCCATAGAGCCGTGCTTATATGCACATCAACTGACCATACTCAGATACGTTAATAACCCACATCAAAAGTACAGTTTCACAAAATTCATTACAGACAGGATCATCCAAAACGAGTCAACCTATGACAGACTATATACAGATATACATAAAGTCCTTGCCGACAAGACCAAATATAAAATACATGGCAAAGAGGCAAGGATAGGTCTCAAGAGTGAGACGCAAGGCTGACTTCCCCAAAACTTGGATTTTTCCTAGCAGACTTCACTGGGGCTGGGTTTGAACTTCCCTTGGCTCACCTACAAACACATGAATGAGCGTGAGCGATAGCCCAGTGAATAATATCAAATACAAAAGTCATATAAACAATATGTAGAACAATATACTCCAAACGGCCTTGGGCCCAATTCATCTTCCTACTTAACATATGTACATTTATACAAAGTTCAGATCGAGTGACTGTAGTTCTAAACATATTGGCCTTTGGCCTATTCTGATTTCCATTTACGTCAAAACGGCCTTTGGCCCATTCATTTATGTCAAAACGGCTTTCGGCCCATTCATTCATGTCAAAACGGCCTTTGGCCCATTTCCATCTACGTCAAAATGGCCTTCGGCCCATTCATTCATGTCAAAACGGCCTTTGGCCCATTCATTCATGTCAAAACGGCCTTTGGCCCATTTCCATCTACGTCAAAACGGCCTTCGGCCCATTCATTCATGTCAAAACGGCCTTTGGCCCATTTCCATCTACGTCAAAACGGCCTTCGGCCCATTCATTTATATCAAAACGGCCTTTGGCCCATTCATTTGTATCAAAACGGCCTTTGGCCCATTCATTTATATCAAAACGACCTTTGGTCCAATTATTCATTCATGTCAGACCTTTGTCCATAATCCCAATTAGCAACTCATAAAGCTTATAAGGGAATACACAATTGGACATTGATAAGCTTTCAAGTATTGATATTACTCACAGTGATCGGCTTGTGGATTTGCCCTGGAACTTGACCCTACACATTTCATGAGCACAAAGGGTCACTAACAGTTCAATCCGTTGTTTAATTCACATATCTCTCTTTAGGCTTAATTCACATTTCATTTGCTCATTTACAATGCTTAACATATGCCTAAGAGTGCTTACAAGTGAAAGAGAACGGAAAACAGAACACAGAATGCATAAACGAAATTTCAGAAAACAGGGTCCCCGCTCGAGCGTCAACTTACCCGCTCGAGCGGACCCTTAAGACTTGCAAAAGTACTGGTTGCATGAAAAATACGCTCGAGCGTTAAATAGGGCGCTCGAGCGGAAGTCCTGTTAAAACAGCTCCCACGCTCGAGCGTTAATTACCCCGCTCGAGCGGACATCAAGTCTGCAAAAAGGTACTGGGAGCCCGCATTTCCCGCTCGAACGTCAGGTTCCCCGCTCGAGCGGACCTCAAAATTCTGGAAAACCCAGAACTGTGTTCCTGAGCTTCATTTCGACTTTCAACCAACAATTCATGCATGTTATGGCCTAAATTACACATTTACACATGCTAACATGCTACTAATACAAGATTACAACATCAGGAAGCTCAATTTCATGATTTATTTACATGCATGTCCTAAAATATCTCAAACCCATCACCAACATGCTCAAATTCAAACATTCAAGACTTATACCCCCATGTTTTGTACATGCATGCCCATTTTGACTTCACATTCATCTCAAATAATGCAATTAGTGCTCATTGCTATAAGATTCATCAAAGACATGCTTGCATGTGGGGTTACACTACCAATCTTTCACAATTTCACAAATTACATGCTAGATTTTGTGATTCCATAGGAATTCTCTACATGCATGCACATATCAAGCCTCAATTTCAATAAAACCAGCTCAAATCATGCTATTGATCACCACAACTCTTGAACACACAAGATTACACATTAACTCATGGATTCAAGAATCAATGCTTACCTAGAGGCTCAATTCTTCCAATTTATGGTCAAGTCTAGAGTTGCCTTCAAGACTTCCAAGATTTAAGAGCAAAACTTTGATTTCCTCCCATCTCTCTCCCTAGTTCGGGTCTCTCCTCCTCTAGAGAGTTTAATCAGCCCCAAAAATGAAATAAAATGAGGGAGTTGAATGCATAAGGGTCCCATATAACCCCACTAAGCCCCATTAAGTTAATATCACATATTGGAGCACCAATTCGTTAATTAATCAATTTAATCTGGCCCGAATCAGTCTTTCAATTAAATTTCACCATAGGCTCTAAAAATTATGCCAATCACAATGGCGTAATCAATTTCGGGTTCTGTGGCCGATAAGGCCCTCAATTTAGTTTCCAAAGCTAATTATTCAAACAAATATTCCTACAGTGAACAGATAAAACTTCAAAATCACATAATGGCACACAAAATCATGGTAAACACATAATCATACTCAAATTAAGGACCAATTAGAATATTACGGGATAGGGGTATCACAGTCTTCCCCCCTTTAGGAAGTTTGGTCCTCCAAACTTAATTTACCTTCGTCGGGAAACAAATGTGGATAGCGTAGACGCATTTCCTCCTCTTTTTCCCATGTAGCATCTGTCCCATAGTGTTCTTTCCATTCCACTTTCACCATCGGAATGGATTTGTTTCTCAATTCTTTCACTTGTCGGTCAACAATTCTTTCCGGCCATTCAGCATATTCCATATTTTCATCAATAGCAACCCGGTGATAATCAATCACATGTAACGGGTCTCGGAGGTAACCCCTCAACATCGACACATGAAACACATTATGGATTTGCTCGAATCCCGGTGGCAAAGCAACTCTGTAGGCAACTGGACCAAGCCTTTCCAAAATCTGAAACGGCCGAATGTAACGGGGCGACAGCTTGCCCTTTTTCCCAAACCTGACTTGGCCTTTCATCGGAGAAACACGGATGAACACATGGTCGCCGACCTCATACTCAAGAGGTCTTCTCCAAACGTCTACATAATTCTTCTGTCGGTCTTGAGCTGTTTTGAGTCTTTGCCGAACAGTTTTGATCTTTTCAGAGGTGTCTTGTACAATTTCAGGCCCAAGCAAAGCTCTGTCCCCGACCTCTGTCCAACAAATAGGTGATCTACACCTCCTACCATACAAAGCCTCGTATGGTGCCGTACCGATGCTAGAGTGGAAGCTATTATTATAAGCAAATTCTACGAGTGGCAAGTAATTTTCCCAACTCCCCTGAAAATCCAAAGCACACATGCGAAGCATATCTTCCAAAGTCTGTATCGTTCGTTCTGACTGCCCACTTGTCCTAGTGGGTGAATGCAGTTGCTGAACCTTAGTTTCTTTCCATTAGCTTCCTGCAAACTCTTCCACAATCTAGATACAAATTTCGGATCCCTATCCGACACAATGGACACCGAACTCCTGTAAACGGACAATTTCATCAACATAAATAGTAGCCAACCTGTAAGCAGTAAATGTAGTTTTGACAGGCAGAAAATGTGCAGATTTAGTCAGTCTATCAACTACAACCCAAAACAGAATCCATACCTCGGGAAGGTCCGAGGTAGAGCCAACAACGAAATCCATAGTCACATGTTCCCACTTCCATTCAAGGAATATGGAGAGTTTGAAGTAGACGCCTTGGTTCTGATGTTCAGCCTTAACTTGCTGACACGTAGCATTGGACACATATTCTGCAATTTCTTTCTTCATTTTTAGGCCACCAATAGGTTTGGTTTCAAAATCCCGATACATTTTATTGCGCTTACCCGGAATATGCATAGCAAATACGGGATCTGGTGGGCTTCATCCAAAACCTCTCTTCTTTAGTTCCGCAAAATGTCTGGGGACACATTATTTTCGGTTCCGAAATCTCAACATTTCGTTCTCAATACTGAATTTCTGCTTTCGGCTTGCTTCAAATTCGTTAATTCACCTGTTTTTGAGGAACTCATCCATCTTTCTGTTTTTTGCTTTTATTTCATCAACAAATTACCGGGTCGCTGTATAGCGGCTATCAATCCCCCTGTTCAACAACTACCACTTCAATTCAGACTTTTCAAAGTCTTGCAAAAATCTCCCTTTGTTCAGTAAGCAAACATAGCCATACTCCCTGTTGATTTTCTTGCTCAAGGCATCCGCCACTGTATTAGCTTTCCCGGATATCTCTCTCCCA